CCCCCCCCTTTGCCCCCCAGCGCCAGACCCCCAGGCGCCAATCCAGAGACCAGGGCATTGGGATGCTCACAGGCCGGGGTCCTGCCACCGCCCTGCATGGCCACATCACACAGAAGGCACACGCTATCATCCCAAAACTGGGTTTTATCTCATTTTCATTGCTATTTTTTAAATTATATAGTTAGTTGGGCATGAAGTCTTGTACCACCAGCCCAGCACCATCCTTCTTTCCAACCACATGAGCTACCCCATGAAATACATAATGGGCAGCAACACAGCGATGTGGGGAGGAGGCAGCCAGGGGCACATCATGTCACCTGTGTGTGCCAGGTGCTGCGCTGGGGACTCTTGAGCTCCAGCTGGTACTACCACCCTGCTCCAAGGGTATTCCTCCTATGGTCATAATTATTTATGCTATTTTTTTTTAATTGCTTCTTTTTAATGATCCTGTTCAAGCCAATTCCTCTTTTTCTCAGCGGTCTCTCAGAAACCTCTGTGCTGCTTTTGGCTGGGATAGAGTTAATTTTCTTCACAATAGCTGGTATGGGGCTATGGTTTGGATTTGTGCCGAAAATAAGTGTTAATAACCCCAGGGATGTTTTAGTTACTGCCGAGCAGTGCTTACACAGAGTCAAGGCCTTTTCTGCCTCTCACCTCACCCCAGCAGTGAGTAGTCTGGGGGTGCCTAAGGAGTTGTGAGGGGACGGAGCTAGGACCCCAACTGACCAAAGGGATATTCCAGACCATAATGACATCATGCTCAGCAATAAAACTAGGGGGGAGCCTGGCTGGGATCCACTGCTCAGGGACTGGCTGGGCCTCGGGCAGTTGGTGGTGAGCAACTGTTTTCATTTGCATCACTTGTCCTTCTCGGGTTTTATTTCTCTCTGTTATTTTCTGTTTCATTACAATTGATTTATTTTATTTCCATTATTAAATTGTCCTTATCTCAACCTATGAGTTTTCTTACTTTTACCCTTCCAATTCTCTTCCCCTACCCTGCTGGGGGGAAAGGTGCGGGAGCAGCTGTGTGGTGCTTAGTTGCTGGCTGATTGCTTTTTTTATTAAGCTACCATGGACATGGTGACTTTCCTCTAAGCCTTATCAGTTCTGGGGCAAACATCCTCCCCACACAAGCAGGTTCAGGGTCTGTACCCACACCCAGTCCCTGTAAAGTTTTAGGGAAGGAGGGCACAGGGGTGGGGGATGCGCTGGCAGCTGGTGACACTCCCTGTGAGGGGGTGGTGCAATGGGGGACCTGGGCTGGTGAGGATGAGCAGCTGCTCTCAACATTTGCTGCAAACAGGCCTGTGTATGTATGGGTGAACTTTGTGGGGGCTGCACCTCAATTCCAGCACTGTGTCCCCCAGCACAACTCCATACAAGTCCCACAGCCCCAGCTGGAACCCAGCTGGGCTCCTCTGCTCTCCTTCACCTCTCCTGCCCCAGGTGGGAGACAAACACCAGCACAAGCTGCTCTAAACACAGACTGATTAAAGAAAATAAGTTAGTGTTCCAGCTCTTATCTCTACTAATACCATCATGTCACATTTTGCACTCAGGCAGGTGGTAGCTGATGAGAAGGGGCTGGGGAAGCCACAGGGCTTGTGCTGGGATGCCAGGAGCCAGGTCCTCACCTCCATCACTCTCTGGACTGATTTCCAACCCCGGATAGTGCCAGCCCCAAGGAGCTCCAGGGAGGAAGAAGAGGTATCACCCAGGTGGAGACCAGAGGCTGCATGGAGGCAGCCCTTTGCACACTAACCACACACACATTGCTTTGACATCTCATGTGGGCTGGGGCGTCTGTCCACCATGGGCCTTTCTGTCCATCTTGCACAAGGGCCTTGCACTGGGCTGGTACCATGGTTCCTGCCATATCCCCACCACGGCATTTGCCACTGGGCAAGGGACACCCTGGGATGATACCTCCTCTAAGTCCAGCCTCCTGGCACCATCACAGGTTCCTACTTGCCCTCACAATAGCCACAGAGGCACCCAAGGCAGCCGTTGAGGACCTGGAGGGAGGCCAGCACCATCTCGGCAGCACTGATGAGCAGCAGGAGGAAGAAGAGGATGCCATTCCAAACCACAGCACCCTTCGGCTCCAGGCAGATGCTCCAGACGCGACGATCAAACAGGTAGTTCTCTACCCTGCACAATGGGGAGAGGAGGAGATGCAAGATGCTGCCCCGTGGCAGGTCAGGAATCACATTGCTTTCCGTCATGGAGTTGTGCCCCAGACTCCCTGTCTTTCATCCTGAGGATGAGCTGCGTCAACAGGGTGATGGGGATGGGAACATGACACATAGAAAGTCATGGAAGGTGAAGACGTCTTGAACTACTGGGGTCTTGCATCACCACCAGTAAGCCCACCCACCATAAATAACACTGACTTAATTAGCAATAAGCTGACGAGGTGGCACCGGAGACTCAACCCTGCTGCCTCACCTGGCTTCAGGCTCCTGGTCGCTGGCATCCCGGAAGGGGTAACCCCAGAGGGTGCCATGCCCGTGGCCATGCTTGGAGGCGTTGTAGAAGCAGAGGGGTCCATCGGTCAAACCCAGCCCAGAGAAGACGAAGCAGGCAGCAGCGCCCAGGACTGCCAGCTTGGAGAGCACGGCGGAGATGAAAGCCTGTGGGCAGCACCCAGGGAGGGCAGAGGGGGACACTGAAAGTCAGAGAGGGTCCAAAACTTGGCTGCACGTTATCAGCAGAGTTTGGTAAGGGGCAAATCTCCCCTCCCCTTCACTACAAGGGCCTTCAGCCCCAGGGCGGCGAGGCTGGGGATGGAGCTGTCGATGGGTTGTTTAGAGCTGGGCAGAAGTGGAGCTGCCCCGCAGAGCCTGGTGGGCAGAGCCCACGCCAGCAAGCACGGGAAGCCCTGTCCTCTGGGGAAGTGACACCACGCAGCGTCCCACTTGGGAGAGGGGGCACCCTGCCACGACCCCCCCCACCACATCCCACCACCCGCCACTCGCGAGCGCTTTGGCACGGGGGCCCTGGGGCTGCCTCACGTTGTGACGGGTGCCGCAGTCAGAGCAGCCGGTGCATCGCCACCCCACTGCTGTGACGTGGGTCGCTGCCAGCAGCACCTACAGGGAGGAAAAAGGTGCTGGGGATGAAGGCGAGCCACCCCCTCCACACCTTCATCCCTGCTCTGCAGGCACTTGAGGAGGGACACGGCACAAACCGTGGTACTCACCATGATGCCGCCTCCCCAGACCCCCGGCAGGACCTTGGTGTGTTTGCTGATGTGCCCCTCCACCAGGTACTTCCATGTCCCACTGGGGAAGAGGAGGAGGATGTTGGCTGCCATGGAGAGTGTGCCCAGCACCAGCAGGCAGGGACCCACAATCCGGCTGCACTTCCCCACACACATCGCCGCTCTGCACAGGGATGGGGAGGAAGAGGAGAGGAAAGGGCTGCCTTCGGCCCCATGATCCCCACAGCTCCCCCCCCAAACCCATCTCACAGCCGTGGGTAGACAAGAGTTCGTTGGTTGATGCTTTTGTGTCCCAGCCTACCCCACTGGCACTGCTTTTACTCAAGAGTTGTTTCCAATAGAAATCCTATTTTCCCCACACCATCTAATTAATTAAATATTAAAAATAATTCCATGTTAATACCAGTATACCACTGCCAGTTTTCTTGAGGTTGACCTTTTTTTATCATAGATGGTGAAGCCTAACTTTAGACCCGCTAGTATTTGTCAAACGGGCAGGGGAGTTTAAGACAAGAGCAGGTCCTGCACTGAGCCTTGAAACCTGTGCAACCCACAGAGTCAACTCCTCCAAAACGTGACTGCAGAAGGAGACCAACCTCCACGGCTTGGTTTGACTTTGAGTGTTTACAACGAGCAGGAGGGAGCCAGGAAAGGGGCAAAATCCTTAGACAAGGACTTATGAAAGCACATTAGTCTCCAATCTAATCCAACAGCAACTTCATCCCCATCACACACTAGTCATATATATATATATATATATATATATTCATATATATATATATATATATATGCTGAAACAAATTCAAGTTCTTTAAGAAAAGGTTCTCACATCTCCTCAGACAAGCCATCCAGATCCACTGGCATTTTATTAAGTTATCAATTCACCCAGGAAGTGCCTGCCCATCTCCAGGTGATACCTTGTCAAACATTAGCTCTCCCTCTTCTGTACCTTCAAGATGGGGGATGCTCATCAGTCACTCTGGGACCACCGAAAACAACCTGTTTTGCTGTTGTCCTGGCTTCCCAGGTTTCTTCTACCCTGTGTTCATTTTTTGCTTTAGGTTGGTTTTATGAGTTTTCCCCTTTCCCTGTGGCTTCCAACCTGTTTTGCACAAGCTGCCTGAATCGAGCTGCTTTTCACACTGGCTAATTTATTTCAGGCTTGTTCTGGTTTTGCAGAAGCAGAAGTGAAGAGGCACCATGTGGTTATTTCCATGGGAAGAGGTGCCTCAGCCTGCCTCGTGCACAGAGTCAGTGATGGGGAGGAGCAGCTCAGGCCCTGCACAGCCCAAGAGGACGGGGGGCACCAGCCCAAGGGGTTTCACATTGCTGTGACTTGCTAGAGACCAGCCACGCCAGCCCCAGCAGGCTGCTGGGGGCCAAGGAGGACTGAACGTGGAGGAACAAGGCTGCAAAACCTTTCTGCACGGAGAGGATACAAGACAAGAAGCCCAAGGTAGACCATCAGCTCTACCTTATCCTGGAGCTTCACCCTCCCTCTGCTTTGTGCCCTCCCTGCCTTTGTTAGAAGGAATGTAGGGCCTCTTGCCCCTGCTGCGTTCCAGGGATTGTGCACGGCTGTCCCCCCAGAGCCATGAGCATTCAGTGCTGAGTCCCACCTCCCCACTTCGGAGGATCTTTCAGGAGAGCTCTTGCTCCTCTGGAGCTCACAGTGTGGGCTGCTCTCACCAGCCAGGGGCTTTTGTGGTCTTCTGTACGTCTCTCTTTCACCTCTCCAAGGACTCTTCTTCCCCTCCAGCACTGCCCTCTCCCCGTGGAAGGCAGGAGGTCTCCTTCCCGCTTCTCCACAGCTCACTGGCCCCTCAACACTCCCCTTGAGCAAGAAGCAAGCTTGCATTAGCTGCTTTCCTTTACCTCAGCCATTCAGACAAACCCCTCGTAACCGTAACGGGAGGTAAAGCAAACGTGCAGCGTAACTAGTCCCTGTTAGGACACTCAAAACAAAGACTCCCTTCCTGGCCAGCATGTCCCCATGGCCAACAGCTAGGGGATTTAAGGAAATCCAAGGGAACCTGTCACTCCACCTTTCTGCCTTACCTGGAAGCGGTGCCACGTGGAGCCAGCAGCGTCCACTCCTCGGATGAGCCGTCCCGGAGGCATCGCCCATGGGTGACTATTTATGACATGCTCCACGTCTTCCTCCTTCGCCCCGAGGTCCACCCACCACATCCTTTCCTCTCCTACACGACTGACAGCTCAAAAGGAAGAATGACTGTCCTGTCTGACTGAGACTGCCTCTGCCGCCACTGTGGCTCATCCATCTGCCCCACTGTGCCCCCTTTCACTGCCAGAAGCCGCGAGCCCACCAAAACATCCACAACTTCAGATTTTAAGGCTTCTACCACGTCTGCTCGAAATACCCTGACTATTGCCCAAGTAGCAAACACCATTTCTCCTGGAACAACCTCCAATGACTGTGTAGGGAGAACGTTTTCCTGTCTCCTCTGTAGCCCACTCCAAATGTCACCATGAGTCCACATCCTCTACCAAGGGCTTCTTCCACCATGTTTCACCTTATTTCCCTCATTGTGCAAGAGCTTTTTTTGTGAATGCTGAACAGTTCAGGTTTGCCTCTTCTTACTTTTACCTGCAGGAGGGAGCACACTAATATTTTAATAAAAGCTTCTAAATAAATATACTCATGTCTCAGCTGGTTGCCATCTCCTGCCCTTTGCTTCCTTGCAGACAGCCCAGCTTTTCCCCCAGGTGTTGAGCATACCCCCATTCCATATATATCTTACACCTTGGTGATAACTTGGAGAGAGAAAGGTTATTTTTGGGTATCTTAATTACTGCAAGTTATCAGACACCAGCATTTCAAAGTCCTATCCAGGGTGACCATGGCTGGCAGACAGCGTGCAATGGGGAAGCTCCTCTTGTGATCCCAGAGAGGTCTGATAGTAGCAGATCCAAGGTGGGAACAGGACTGGAAATACACAACCTCTGTGTCTGAGAACAGGAGACAGGAAAGCTGTAGTAGAAAAAAAATGGCAAAAATAGGCAGCTTTTCTGGCAGAGGAGTTGCAGGCAGCACAGAGGAGAATTGCTCATGGGCTATGCAGGCAAAAGGAAGAATCCTCTCAAAGAAGAATTTGGAGAAGGTTCATATTCCTCGTGCGTTCATCATGAGGACCTTAGGCACATCAGCTGCCTGGAACATGGGCTTCCTCATCTGCAACAGCCACAGGAGACAAAGCGTAAGTGCAGATATTTTATAGCCCTGATACAGTCTTGCTCCAATACAGTAAATTAAAAAAAGCACCTAGAGTGTCAACTTTTGTTTTATAACTCAACTTGCTCTACCTAGGGTAGCACACACGAGTAGCGTTTGCCAACACATTTCAAAGTGGCTTCTCCTGCTGTCAAATCAATGAGTACAGGGCTGCTGAGAACATAAACCCTGCTCCAATTGCAGCATGCCACTGTTTGTTGGAAGAAACAGAAAATGGAGCTGGAGCCATTGAGTGCCACATAGAAAAAGATGAACAGGTGAGGCTGAGTTACATTAGCCAATTCTGTTTTCCTAGGAAAAATACACTGAGAGGAACAGATGATCTGAATAATGATAGTTCCTCTGAAAGGAAAATCAGTTTGCAACAGCATGTATATCCCTGTTTTATTCTTAAATAAGACAAACTGGTCTCTGAAAAACACAGCAGCAATGGCGAAACACGTAGGACAGCAGACTGTTGAGAATAATCCAATTTTTCCTTTTTTTTTTTTTTTATCTTAAGAGAGGAAGCATTTTTCACTCTGCTGGAAAAAATTGTGTTGCAACTTCATCTTGTGCCCTTTTCTACGTCACAGCAATCTGAGCTTCCTACGTTGCCACACACATGATCTGGTCAATCGCCTCCCACAGAAAATCCCATGCCGTTCAGGATGAAGCATCACCCACTTCGGCCCAAATCCGTAATAGTAATAATAATAGGCTAATTTTAGCCCTGTGCACCTTCCCGAGAACCATGAGTGGCTGCACGCCTCCCTTTCTCACACAAGAACTTAGTTAAGAAAGTGCCAGCACAACAATTACAGGCAAGTAATTTTCTGCTGAGTTACCCAGCCACAGTGCTGCCAAATGTGGTCCCACGCAAAGCGATTCTGGCTCGGCAAGGTGCTCCTGCTGACTCCTCTTCTGACACCAGATCACAGCTGGAGACTCTGGATACATTTATCAGGGTTGTTTTGTGTTGCTTTATCCCATCACAGAGGGCTCTGCCTCTCCAGTCCATGGTCTGCATGTCACATTCAGCAATGGCTCTGAACTTTAAGATCAGTGAGCTTTTTCTAACCACAGAGTCCACACTCTTAACCACGCTCCCCCTCTTTGCTTCTCCAAACTCCTCTGGGCTGTGGAAATTGCATGACAGGTTGGGTTTCAAAAGCAGTTTGGCTTCAAGGAGTATCGAAGAGGCTGAGTCGGGTTTGAATTGGTGAGACTGAACCATTCTGTGCCAAACCAACCTCCCCCTCGGTCCTGTCCAGAGGATTCCCAGCACCATTCAGTGGTCTCTCACGCTCCTCTCCATAGCATCTGCAAATCTATTTCTGCCTCTAGCCAAGACTTCTCCAGACTCGGGTGTGGGCACATTTGCTGCCAACAGTGATCCCCTTAGACAAGCCCTGCACAGAGTTTGTGGCTAGAACTCAGACTGAAGAAATACCAACAAGATCCTGCTAGACAATAGGGCATTTGCTTTAGTTTCCTTATAAATTTCACCTGATTTAATACATCACAGAATCATCTGGGTTGGAAAAGCCCTTGGAGCTCTTCCAGCCCAACCATGACCCTCACCCTGACCGTCCCCAACTCCACCAGATCCCTCAGCGCTGGGTCAGCCCGACTCTTCAACCCCTCCAGGGATGGGGACTCCCCCCCTGCCCCGGGCAGCCCATTCCAACGCCCAACAGCCCCTTCTGCAAAGAAATCCTTCCTCAGAGCCAGCCTGACCTGCCCTGGCACAGCTTGAGGTCAGATGAGATAAACCAACCCAGTTAAAAGTTGTAAGGAGTCTGCAGAAAGGAAGAATAAATAAATCAAAACCAAGAAGCATATTGAGTTTATCCTGTAAGTTGAGTTTGACCTGCAGACTGTGATGAAAAAGTGTTTCCTACTCACTTGGAAGGGGAAATATTTTCCTAAGCGGCATGAAGAGATCAGGCTGTTTTCCAGTCTTCCAGTGCACAAGCCAGCCTTCCTCACAGAAACTGGGGTTGTCCAGTTAACACAGTGACAAGGAGAGGTGCACGTGCCAGAACTTGAAGAGAGCCATTTCCAGGATCCCCCTGGAAAGGTGGCCAGAGCAACAGCCTTCTCCTGGGGGGTCTTTCAGGTCAGTGCACCCCAGAAGGATCTTAACCACTGACCTTGGACAACCTCCCTTGAGAAAGCTTTGGGGTTGGGTAAGCCAAGCTGAGGGCATTTGCTCTCCTCTCCAAGGCCTGCTGGAAATGAGTCAACGATGAACACTGGTTGAAGGTTTTAGTGTGACTGTTGGCACCCTATTCCATAACTTTTTGGAGAGTTCAAACAGTGCAAGAACTGGGGCAGTGACTGCAGTTACTGTTTAAGTGGAGACCTATCGACAGTCAGGAACATGATGACGACCTGAGATCAGCTGCTTAAGTATCCCCGCTCAATACCTGTCCAGAAGGGACTCTGCTTATCGACATTTCATGTGAGGCCATTACAGGAACGCCCCAAGGAGCCCAGAAGACAATTGCAGAAGTTAAGAGGCTCTTGACAACACCTGTATGAGGACATTGACGGTTCAGAATAGAAAACCATATCTTGTCTGCTTTTCCATTAGAAGGATGGAAAATTCTAGCCCGACCTCTTTTTATTCATTTTCATATGGGTATATTTCTATCAAGGTGCCAAAAGGTTGTCTTGCTTCAAGACTTTGTAACCTCTAGAATGGGCTGAAGCTTTCTTGGGCTATGCAAGCAGCTCACTAATCAACAATTCCTTATCAGCAGGAACTGGATGTTTTCCACTGAAGTCAGTGACTCAGTATTTATTATTTATTTATTATTACTGTATTTATTATCAGACACCATATTGCAAACAGGCTTCAAATTTAGGCAAGCCCTGTCCTTGCTGGCTGGGCAGACTCAGACCTATTATCTGAAATGACACACATTTGGACTTCTTCAGCTGACCTGCAGCTTCTGCTACTTATTTTGTAAAGAGAGTCAATACCAACAACAAAAGCTGCTACAGCCAGGATAAGAAAATCATAAACTTCCCAGAGGTTCAACAGAAGCTGTGGCACCTGGACCTATCCTGCCAATTCACAGACCAGGAGGCAAAGGAAAAAGAAAAGCACACAATCTGACAGTTTTACTAAAAAGTCAGGATACACACAGATAGAGAAGTCAGCTTGATTTTCTTTCCTTCCCTTCTAATCCAGTGACCTTAAGGAAAAACCTCAGAAACTCTCCAAATAATGCAGGGACAGACTTTCATTAGAACTAAAACAACAACAAAAAAATCCCAAACCCAAAAACCAAGAGATGAAGAAAGCTACTGAAAACAGTTTGTTTTATTTCCAGGATCAAATATTACAATAGGACATTTACATATATTTATAAAAAAATGCAGCAGTTGTGTATATAGATCAGAGGTTTCCTTGAGTTTGGTCCCTCCCAGCACGGTGAGCTGAAAACTTCCAAATTAATCCTCTCCTCCCACACGAAGTCACCATCATTGAAGAAGAAAGTGACTACCATAAAAACCAACAGGCAAAGTCATAATTTTGAAACTGTAAATTCACCAATTAGAGGAAACAGCTTTATTCCTAAAAGTCATCTATCCTATAGTCTGGTGTCTCTGATGAGTCACCATGTCTCTGAGCTGAGTTTTATCCAGATGTTCTTCATATAAATCTGTTCTATAAAATAGCACCTCATTCCCCTGCTCCGTGTACTTTTACTATCTATCCTTCTATACCTTAACATCTCAGCACCATTTAACAAGCAGTTACAAAATCACTTTTCTCTGTACTGCAGACACTCACAGTAATCAAACAGTGACCAAATCCCAAACTTCTGCAATCACTCATAATACACCCATGTAAAACAACCGAAGATAAAACTGAGGCAAGTTGAGGCACTGATGTTAAGTGCCACATTCT